CACTGCCGTTACCTCCCCCCGTCTGCCTTACCAACGTTCTCCCCGTTCGCCTCTTCCCCCTTCCCCCGCCTGTCCCCTCACCTCTCCGTCCCGCTCTCCCACTCTGTGCTTTACGATAATGCCGTTGCCAGGGGCCGGCCGAGGCAGCCGAGGGCAAGCCGAGCCGAGCCGAGTTTTAGTAATTGCCCATGTTTTTGTTCGACCCTCAGAGCATGAATGTTCTTTCAAAAGTGGAGTACAGGATGAAGCAAGATGAAATTAGAAAGTTGATTTTAGGCAATCGCAACAACTAGTAAACTGACATTCCAAAATTTCAGTTTCATAAATTGTTCCGCTCTGCAATTAATAAATGACCCTTAGTTTGGGCCTGCAGTAGTAAGATAGGCTAGAAAGAATGAAGCATAATTCATTAATATAATTCTGTTCTTCCATCTATAATTCTATAATCCATCTATAATATAATTCTTCCAAATCGGTCTAGTTTTAGAAAAAGTCAAAGATCGGCCATATCGCCACAGTTGTTATTTAAATCATCAAATTTTCGGGTTTTTGACAACCGCAGATTTAATCCTGAACTAATAAACAGAGCACATTTTCAAACACGTTCACGCGCACGCACACGCATACGTACATACCCACATACACACACATACACACACACGCACACACACACACACACACACACACATAGACATGTGTATACATACATATCTGCATAAACACATTATCTGCGCTCGGATTTTGTGTAGATAGCCAAGTACAAAAATGACCATCAACAGGCTTTTTACGCTTTCTTTGCTCTAAAAAAGCTTTGAAATCATGACTAAAAATTAGCAGTTTCAGTGAATGGCGGCCATGTTATCCGCGTCTTTGTGCTTATCACGACTGTGTAAGCTTGGCTTCAGCATGGGGACTTGGGCCACCGACTACTTCCATTGAGCCACGTCCAACGGGAGCCTCTCAGGCCCAGAGCCCCTGTGAAGATGATAATGGTGATGGTAAATGCAATGATTTGCTGGCAAATTGTCCGGCCTTCAGGTAACGGCTTTTTTTTTTTTTGATAATTTAGCATCAAGCATCGTTTCACTCTAGAACCGTTCCTAGGAGCTTCTCGAGGTACCACCGTTGCGGGTAAAGATGCCTGGAGCTACATTTGGAAGCAACTACGCGTTCCACAATGATAATGTTACCGTGATGTGTGTAAAGCACAGAGAGATTTAGGAACGAACTTGGTGGTGAGCCAACGCGACGCTTGGCTCTTTCTCGACGTTTTAACATTACGCCAGCTGAAAGTCTCAGAAACGATAATGAAACCTGGCAGCGAGAACACACTGCATCAGAAATTGGTATTTTGGAAGATGTCAGCAATGTATACCTTGGCGGCAGGTAATACAATATCAAATTATTGATGCTGTCTGAAAAACTCGCTCATTCTAAATTTTCTTTCCCAATAAAACTTCCTCAACCAGTGCATTTATGCACGCGTACAAAAAACCCAGGCTGGAATGCACCAGGCTCTCCGGTGCTATCATGCGTTTTTGCACTAAAGTCGCCGATCGCTATTAGCAGGAGTGATCCCTATGCTGTGGCCTAACACTTGGGCTAATATTGGCCGTGCTTTGATCCTTACCGGCATGCAGGAGGAAGGGCATCAGTTGAGACGAAGGTGGTGCATTATAGAGCCGCACGGACATCGACGTGCATGCTTATCGGTTTTTTGCATGAAGTCCGGTCGTTTTTCCGATAAATGCTCACTTTGTGAAAAAATGGCAAATGCAAATTTTTTGAAAAAATGCAAATTTCCAGTTCACTAAAAAGTGGAAGTACTGCTCGAGCGGTCGTTTATCAACAAGTCCACATTCATTTACATATACGATTGCGGTTAAGGTCCAAGCTGCGGACGAGTTTTTGAAAATATGCAAATTTTTAGTTCATTGAAAAGGTTGAAAGTATTGCTCAAACGGTCGTTTTTCAAAAAATCCATGTTCATTTGCATATACGATTGCGGTTCAGGTCCGAGTTGCTAGCGATTTTTGGGTTCAGGAGCTGCTTGAGACTGTGGATGGGGAGCTAGAGAGCTGAGTTTAAAATTTTTATCTCGCATGCGCATAGAAAATTTTTCTGCAAAGTTTCATCTTCCTACGTTGCCTGGTTCGCGAGATCGTTTCCCGCCAACAAATTTGTTTGGGGGTCCCGTACGCGGGGTTTAGGCGCGTATGGGGGAAGATCTTAAAACTGGAGGATAACACTCGGGGTAGGAACATATATCCAAATTTCCAGCCTCCCAGCTTTCCTGGTTGCTGAGATGAAAGTGGGTGACAAAATGCACTCGCTTTCTGCACACACACACACACACACACACACACACACACACACATACACACACATGCACAGAGCCTGTCGACAATATGTGTTTTTATGCGTTTTTGCCTCTATGCAAATTGCAAAAACGCATATTGGGACGACCCTGTTTGTGTGTGAATGTTTGTGTGTGTGTGTTCGTCTGTCCGGGTATTTCAGCTCGGCAGCCAAGCAAGTTTCAGCGCCGAGATTTTGCTAATGGGTACCCCAGCCATGTACCACCCCAGAACCGTAGTACCATCCCTCACGCACGTCTGGGTCCCACGTACGAGAGAGGGAAAGTTTTGGCGGGAAAATTGATAACTCGGGGACGGGAAAAGATAGAAGGCTGAAAGTTTGGGAATTTGTGCCCATACCATGCGCGACCCTCCCATTTTAATATCATCCCCTGCGGACGCCTGGGCGCCGGGTCCGGGCCCCTCAAGAAAATATGCAAATTTTTTGGCGGGAGAGCTATCTCGGGAACCACACAAGCTGAGGGGTTGAAACTTTGTAGAGATATTCCCTGCGCATGTACTGGCTAGAGGTTTCAAATTCAGCCCCCAGGTATGCGTGGTTCCCACGTAAGAGCGCATGAAAGTTTTAGGGTGAAAATTGCCAAATCGACAACCAGGAAAGCTGGAAGGTTGAAATTTTACGGGAATATTCCCTGTCCAAGTACAACTTAAATATTTCAGATCCAG